AAATTGTGGTTAGGAATTTGAAGCAAGGCTGGTCAGCACAGTTGTGTCTGCCCAGCAACATTCAGTCTTGAGGTATGGACCTAAAATCAGTGGATAGAGAGTAAACCCAACCTGGTTAAATGGCACAGGGAGCAGGAGGGGCAGGGGGCTGACTACAGGCCCTGATGAGGCAGAGGATCTGGAGTGGGTGCGGTTGGCACGGGAGCAGGGACAGCACTGTGTTCGCAGCCGAGATGTGGGGGCAAGAGCAGTTCCTGGTTGCAATAAGGTGTGACCCCCAGAGGTTGGGTGTGGGGGAAGATTACAGGCAAGGTCAGTACCTTGGGAGGCACCCTCCCCACCTCAGGCCTAGACAGATACAGTTATATGTGAGAGGATCTTCCCAGAGAGCCGCTGTGGAGGGTAGCCCAGCACTGGGCAGGAGTCTCCATGAAGGCAAGCATGTGCAGGAGACAGAGTTCGAGTGGGCCTGTGGGAGGATGGGGGCTGACTGTGGGGTGGGGCTGCGGTGAAGTAGAGGAGAGGTGGCAGGCAAATGGGGAGGAGACATAACATTAGTCCTGAGAGAAGAGAGGTCCCCTCAGTGTCCCCCTCAGCTGCATTGTGGTGCCCAAGGCAGTGCAAAGGTTCTCCTCAGGTGGCCAAAGGACAGCTCGGGCTCTGCTGCAATGGTGGGTGTGGGGATGGGCAGGCTCACCTGAAGCACAGAGGTTAGGACCCAATCACCCCGTGTGCTTCCTTACCAAGGGGTGAGCTGGATAGTGGTGTGGGCTAAGGGATCCTGTGGGGATGCGTTTGCAAGCAGACCTCCCCCAGTTCATTACCGCCTGCTTTGACACCTTTTGCTTGTGGGCCTAGTTTTCACAGTTCTTTGCAGTCTCTCCATTCTAGGCACATTCACACCCACCTTTGGTCAGAACACCCCTGGAGTAGGTGCATCGGGCAGCAGCCTCTCCTCTGTGGTGTCCCCAGCACCTGCCCAGGGCTTTGCTGGACATGGAACCTTTGGTAAGCTGCAAGTCTCTCTAGGCAGGGTGACCTGCATATTCCTTGAAGATGGGATAGGGTTGTTGGGGAAGCACTGTCTATTTTCCTTGGTCCTTGTCCCCACCGCAAAAAAGAATCAAAAGGCAGAGACACAGTAGTGAAGCAGAGGAAAAGTTTTATTTAAAGTTACTTACAGAAAAAGTGCATGCAACTTCAGAGAGAGACAGCACCCTGAAAGGTTGAAAAGAAAGTTTAAAGTGAAAAGGTTATGCACTTAGGAAGTGCAGGCAACCTCAGGGAGAGGAGTGCCCTGAGAGCTTGGGGGTTCCCCCTTTTAAGGATTCTTCAGGAATGTGACTAAGGGCTGGGGTTGCAGACCTGTTAGGTGGTCTCTGAATAATACTTAGAACTAACTTAACACAAGCAACTTCCTGCTGTGATTTCTCCCTGGGAGCCAGAGCCTTCTTGGTCTGGGAGCATATCAAACAAGACTGCTTCCCCTGCCCCCGGAGGGTGGGCTGAGTTATTGTCTGTTTGCTAAAGAGTAAGTTAAGAATCTTCTCAACTTCCTGGGTATTAAAACACAATCTTATTTTTAAGATGAAATCCTTCCTGCCTGTGACTATGTTGTTTATGCTGGGCTTACTTGCCATTATTAATTGCCCAGAATGCAAACTACTTGATTAGGGCCAAAGGAGAAAAAAAAAACAGCATGTAGGTTAAGTCAAAAAAATAAGCTGGGCCTGCATGATTAACACAATAAAGCCATGGGCTATGCTGACATATCCTCCTTTCTCTGGGGAATATTCAAACATTCCAGGCCAAGTTGCTCCAGGCTTTTTGAGCTTTAACTGATCCACTCTGGGTCATTTTTAGTGGGCTTTTTCCTGGACTTATTCTCTTTCCATCCCACTCATATCTATTTTCCTGCCTAACAGGGTGTGGTCCCTTTCCCTCTGGGAAAAAAACAGGCTAATAAGCACAAGAAAGATGTGACCTCGCTGGCAGTCAGGTGCCGCTGAGGAGCCATTTCTGGCAGAACTTCTCCCAAGCCACTGGAAAGCCAGGTGGCCTCCTGCATCCCAAGGAACCCAGCCTGGGAAGCCCTGTTGAAGCACCCAGTGTTCTGTTGGCCTGGCCCTCCACAGGGTATGGCACCCAGAGAAGCAGTCTCTGGTAGTAGCCTCCCTGATGAGGTCCTTTTCCATTGGTGCAGGATCAGGGACCCAAGAATTCCAACAGAAAACACAAGCGATAAGCACATTGGTAAGAAGTAGCCTACATCCCTTGCCCCCACCCCGGACCCCTTACCTGGATATGTAGACTTTGGCTCCTGCTGGGAAGAGCCTCTGACCTGTTCTGTAAAGCAAACTGACTGCAGCAGATCTCTGGCTTCAGCCTGCATGGAGGGAGGGGCAGCCCTGGAGGCCATTGCCCTCTCCTGGAGGAAGCAAAGCCTCAGGCTTTTTGCAGGAGGGGAGGCAGGATATGGCAGAGCAGAAGCCTTTCTTTACTTGAATGGTTCCACTGGTGAGGCTGGACAGAATGAAGAAACATCTGGACCACCAGCTGAAAACATGGTGATGTGAGAGGTGAGACAGAGGCTTTCTCCTAAAGCCACAGATAATATGAACATATAACTAATACAACTAATCCTGAAAGAGCAACAGGAAAGAGGACTGTGCCAAACTGCATATACACCTGGAGAAAAGAATAAACCTCACGGAACAGGGTAACATACCAAAGCCATGGCCCAGCAGGACCCAAGCCCTTTCCCCAGCCCAGCCCTCGGGGGGCAGGAAGAGAAACAGAGCAGGGAGGGAGTGGAGGCCTGGGACTGCTGAATACCTACCTCTGGATATCTGATCTGGGAGCACAAATGTACATTTCATGGTGTTTTCATGGCACTCATGATTACGGGTTGGAAAGCTAAGACAGGCAGAATGGAGAGACTGAGATTCCAGCCACTTGTGGGAAGCAGGGATCCATATCCAGCTGCTCTGGGACAAAAGAAAGGTGGGCAGTCTGAGAGACTTCCTAACAGCAAGAGGGCTGCTAAAGGGCCAAGGATTGCACAGAGCTTATTGCTCAGGAGAAAGGAGAGGCAGACAAAATTGTCCAGGTGCACTCTGCCCAGGAGGTTGGGAAGTTTCATGATCTTCAGGAACTCCAGTTCCCTGGCTGGCTACACAGCTCCAAGGACCACCTCCATGATAAGCAGCCTACTGCGCCTTTCTCCCAGCCAGCCCCACCTGGCTTCCAAACCGGCAAACCCAACCCTGGCATTAGGCCGGCCAGAGGGAAGCCCTGACTATAGCAACTATAAATGCAAAGCATAGAGGCTTATAACTGTGTGTCTGGCCCACTGGTTCTGGCGCTGGAGACAGGCACAGCAGCCAGGAAGCAGGAAACGGCTCTTTCCTCCCCCCAAGCACCAATACCACTCCTCTACAAACCCTGACATTGCTTCATGGGCTGAGCAGCTCCAGAAAGTAGAGCTTCTGAGCACTAGAGGGCGCCATGTACAAATATAAAACACCAAAGGACCCTGGTTCAGAGTAAAATTATGAGTATGAATACAACCCCTGAGAAAGATTTAAATGAAATCGACCTCATGAATCTGCCTGAAAGGGACTTCAAAATAAAAATCATTAACATGCTCATGGAGGTACAGAAAAGTATTCAAGAACTCAGGGAGGAATTCTGGTTAGAGATCCAATCATTATGGAACACAGTATCATAAATGAAACATACAATAGAAAGTTTTAAAAGCAGGTTAGATACAGAGGAGGAGATGCTAAATGAAATACAAATTAGAGAAGAGGAATACAAAGAAGCTGAGGCACAGAGAAAAAAGGATCTCTAAGAACGAAAGAATATTGAGAGAACTGTGTGACCAATCCAAATGGAACAATATTTGCATAAGGAGGGTCTATACGCCTAAACAGAATCAGAAATGAGAGAGGAAAAATCACTACAGACACCACAGAAATACAAAGAATTATTAGAGAATACTATGAAAAATTATATACAAACAAACTGGAAAAGCTAGAGGAAACGGACAGCTTTCTAGAAAAATACAACCTTCCAAGGCTGACCCAGAGAGAAACAGAAAATCTGAATAGACCAATTATGAGCAATAAAATTAAATCAGTAATAAAAAAACTACCTAAGAACAAAACCCCTGTACCAGATGGCTTTACCGCTGAATGTTATCAAACATTTAGTGAAGACCTAATACCCAACCTCCTTAGTTTTCCAAGAAGTAGAAAAAGAGTGAATACTCCCAAACTCATTCTATGAGGCCAACATCACTCTAATATCAAAACCAGGCAAAGACACCACTACAAAAGAAAATTACAGACCAATATCCCTATGAACATAGATGCAAAAATATTCAACAAAATATTTGCAAACTGAATTAAAAAATACATCAAAAAGATCACCCATCAGGATCAAGTGGGATTCATCCCAGGGATCCAAGGATTGTACAACATTTGAAAAATTCCATCAACATCATCCACTACATCAACAAAAAGGACAAAAACCACATGATCATCTCCATAAATGGCTGAAAAAGCATTTGACAAAATTCAACATCCATTCATGATAAAAACTCAACAAAATGGGTATAGAGGGCAAGTAGCTCAACATAATAAATGCCATATATGACAAACCCACAGCCAACATTATACTTAACAGTGAAAAGCTGAAAGCTTTTCCTTTAAGATAGGGAACAAGACAAGCATGCCCACTCTCCCCACTTATATTCAACATAGTTCTGGAGGTCCTAGCTATGGCAATCAGACAACACAAAGAAATAGAAGGTATCCAGATAACCTCAAGCTCTACTACAAAGCCACAGTCATCAAGACAATTTGGTGCTGGCACAAGAAGAGACCCACAGACCAGTGGAACAGAATAGAGAGTCCAGATATTAACCCAAACATATACGGTCAATTAATATATATGATAAAGGAGCCATGGACATACAATGGGGAAATGACAGCCTCTACAACAGCTGGTGTTGACAAAATTGGACAGCTACATATAAGAGAATGAAACTGGATCGCTGTCTAACCCCATACACAAAAGTAAATTCAAAATGGGCCAAAGACCTGAATGTAAGTCATGAAACCATAATACTCTTAGAAAAAAAACATAGGCAAAAATCTCTTGGACATAAACATGAGCAACTTCTTCATGAACATATCTCCCTGGCAAGGGAAACAAAAGCAAAAATGAACAATTGGAACTATATCAAACTGTAAAGCTTCTGTACAGCAAAGGTCACCATCAATAGAACAAAAAGGAATCCTACAGTATGGGAGAATATATTCACAAATGACAGATCCGATAAGGGGTTGACATCCAAAATATATGAATAGCTCATGTACCTCAACAAACAAAAAGCGAATAATCCAATTAAAAAATGGCCACAGGATCTGAATAGACAGTTCTTCAAAGAAGAAATTCAGATGGCCAACAGAAACATGAAAAGATGCTGCACATCCCTAATCATCAGAGAAATGCAAATTAAAACCACAATGAGATATCACCTCACACCAGTAAGGATGGCCACCATCCAAAAGACAAACAACAACAAATATTGGCGAGGTTGTGGAGAAAGGGGAACCCTCCTACAATGCTGGTGGGAATGTAAATTAGTTCAACCATTGTGGAAAGCACTATAGAGGGTCCTCAAAAACTCAAAATAGAAATACCACTTGACCCAGGAATTCCACTCCTAGGAATTTACCCTGAGAATGCAGCAGCCCAGTCTGAGAAAGACATATGCACCTCTGTGTTTATTGCAGCACTATTTACAATAGCCAAGAAGTGGAAGCAATCTAAGTGTCCATGAGTCGAAGAATGGATAAAGAAGATGTGATACATATATACAATAGAATACTATTCAGCCATAAGAAGAAAACAAATCCTACCATTTGCAACAACACGGATGGAGCTAGAGGGTATTATGCTCAGTGAGATAAGCCAGGCAGAGAAAGACAAGTACCAAATGATTTCACTCATCTGTGGAGCATAAGAATAAATAAAAAACTGAAGGAACAAAACAGCAAACTCACAGAACCCAGTAATGCACTGAGAGCTACCAAAGGGAAAGGGGCTGTAGAGGATGGACAGTGACTGTAATGCAGTATGTGGGGGGAACTTGATAATGGGAGGAGTCTACTGACCGTAGTGTTGTTCAAGTGATTGTATATTAACCATACCAATAATAATAATAATAATAATAATAATAATAATAATAATAATAATAATAAAATAAAAAACTTCGGCTGTTTCATGGGCACAGGGCTTGCCTTTGGGGTGATGGAAATGTTCTGGAGCCAGAGAGGGGTGATGGTCACACAATCCTGTGAATGAACTAAATGTCACTAATGGTAAAATTTACCTGTCTTTTACCACAATAATTTTTAAGAAAGAATATACAGATGAGAAAAAATGTTAACATCAATACTCACAATTATTTTCGTATTTTTACTCCATTTCTGCCTGTGGACATAATTCCTATTTGTGAAACACAAACCAGAAAATACCACTCTTCAAGAGGAAATAAACTATCTCCTGATGGTAGATAAACAATGGAGAATCCAGAATGACACTCCCTCCAGAATTCTAGTCATTTGCTAAGCTCTAGCAGCATTCTTTCTCTCTGCATCTACATAATTTTTTTCTTTCCCAAAGTCAGTTTATACCTTATGGATACCTGACCCTTGAAATTCATTCCTAGTACTGAAATACAACCATGTTTGTTAGCTAAATTCTTTACAGTAACAGGATAAAAGGGTAGAAACTAGCAGTTCCACCATCTACTTAAGAAGTTTACTTGTTTACTAGGTTTTTGCCCAAATAATCCAGTGTAACAATCCCTCTCCACAAATATGGTCTTTTATAGCTAAACACAATATAGCTAGTTTAACCTTTAAATTAATCCATACTCACAAAAAATTAAGATTGAGACCAGCAAAATTCTTAGTTTATGAAAGGTATTAAGGGTTTTACCTGCTCTAAGTACCTCGTAGAAGTTGAACCATATGTTATTTATCTTTTTGTGACTAGTTTATTTCACTTAGCATAATGCCTTCAAGGTTCATCCTTGTTGTAGTGTGTCAGAATTTCTTTCCTCTTTAAGCTGAATAATCCCACTGTTATGTGTACATGACATTTTGTTCACCCACTCATCCATCAATGGACATGAAAGGTTGCTTCCATGTCTTAGCTACTGCAAATAATGCTGCTGTGAACAAAGGTTCCTGAAGCTTGGTATTCAATGATTTTGGGGATATATGCAGAAGTGGAAATGCTGGATCATAGGATTTTATTCTTTTAGGAAATACCATTACATATTCCTTAGCAGCTGCACAATTTTACATTCCCACTGAGAGTGCACAAGTGTTCCAATTTCTCCACATCCTTGACAACATTTGTTATCTTCTGTTTCTTGATCATAGCTCTCCTGATGGCTGTGAGGTGATACCTTACTCTGGTCCTGATCTGCATTTCCCCAATGACCAGTGATGTTGAATGTTTTTCCTTGCATCCTCTTTGGAGAAATCAAGCCCTTTGCTCATTTTCCAGTCAGGTTATTTTTTTGTTTTGTTTTTGAGTTGCAGGACTTTTTGACATATTTTGGATGTTAACCTCTTATCAGATTTATGGTATGTAATTATATTTTGCCATTCCATAGGTTGCCTACCCATTAGCTGTGTTTAATATAAAATAGTCTGGCATCTGTGTCTTTTAAAATATTTAACTATTTTTCCCCACTGAGAGTCAAGATGACTAAAGTGCAGTGAGTTTTTAAGGTTTGCCTAGCAACTCTGGGATATGTTACATGGACCTGCCCAGTAATTAGCATAAGGTGATCACTTCCACAGAGAACCTGTAACTCATGTATTAAGGTCCCTCACCTACAGCAATAGCC